GAATAACCACTTTCTGGCTCCGTTTATTGTTACAACTCCAGTAAGGAAGTGACGCAACGCGTCGGACCACCGGCGTTATCAGTGCTGCTGTCAGAGCAGCTTTTGCCAAATGACACTTATGATCTGTAAATCTTGTCATTGTCCTACTTAAAAACCGCCCCATTGTGACACTGCGAGAGATGAATAAAAAGTAAATAATCCAACGGCAAACAAACAGTTTAATCAGCGGTCTTGTTGCCGAGCATCCATAACAGTGACGATCACTGATCACTTTAAAGGCACCACACAAATAAAATGGGTAACGTCTTGTAATACAATTAAGAAACGCGCCGATAAATTCTTAATTACTTGCTTAGTTCATTTAATTACTTTACTTCAAAATACAATTAAATGAATTTGTCAATACGCTGCAGGTCTGCGTGTTAATAGATTTTTTTAAAGGGCCAACAAGCAGGTAAAAGTCTAAAACACAAAAAGCTAAACTCTAGTTAAATGACTGAGGACAACTTGGTGTCCATGCGGCAGTAATTTACACGGATCCTATGAGGAAACCTCTGCGGAAATTACAAAGCTGTAAACTGAAATGTTGCCATAAAAAGTGGCTCGCGGACACTCGGATGAACAGACGGCGCGTTGACGTTTGATCGCTTGCCGCGTGTTTCATTCTCCAGGGATGATCCAGGCCCTCGCCGGGTTTTTCACCTACTTTGTGATCCTGGCGGAGAACGGCTTCCTACCGGGAACACTGCTGGGCATCCGCATCGCGTGGGACGACCGCGAGGTCAACGACCTGGAGGACACCTACGGGCAGCAGTGGGTAAGGAGCGGCGACCCGCAGCCCCCCCCCCCCCCCGTTCAGCGCCCCCCCCCCCGTACCCACGCAGAAATGAACGCAATCCGTGTTTTGACCTTGCAGACCTACGAGCAGCGGAAGATCATCGAGTTCACCTGCCACACCTCCTTCTTCATCAGCATCGTCGTGGTGCAGTGGGCCGATCTCGTCATCTGCAAGACCAGGAGGAACTCCCTCATTCAGCAGGGCATGAAGTACGTGCAAAGAGCAGAAGTGTACTTAACTCACTGTACTTAAGTAGAAGTTTTGGGTGTCTATACTTTACTGGAGTATTTACGACTTTTTACTTCTACTCACATTTTAAAAACAGCCTCGTTACTTTCGGCTTGTCGTCACTCACAAACACAAAAACCCATCCAGACAAACGGCGCTACGCGGACAGAGTGCATGTGATTGTGTTTGGATGAGAAGCACTAACATTTAGCATCCAGACACCCGGTTGGTTTTTCTCCGCGATGCGCCGGCAGATCGTCCACGTAACGTTTGTCCTAAATGTTTTTATTGAGAGTCTGACACAACACAGCGACTCGCACGCATTTTAATTATTAAATAAAGTGACGTGTGTCTTAATGCGGCTTTGGAAATGAACACAAAGGGATTCTGTATTCGCTCTGAAGCATTTCCCCCCCATGACGTAGTGAACCTGGGGGAGTCACTTTTACTTTTACTCTTATACTTTAAGTAGTTTTGAAACCAGTACTTTTATACTTTTACTTAAGTAAAAAGCTCAAGTCAATACTTCAACTTCTACAGGAGTCTTTTCAAACCCTAGTATCTGTACTTCTACTAATGAACGTGAATACTTTTGACACCTCTGGCGAATAGTGAGCCGTCTGTGATTAACGTTTTTAACATATTTCCACATCTCTGTTTGTTCTTTCCCCTCGTTTCTTCGTGGTCATCAGGAACAGGGTGCTGATCTTCGGCCTGTTCGTCGAGACGGGTCTGGCGGCCTTCCTCTCCTACTGCCCGGGGATGGACGTCGCCTTGCGCATGTACCCCCTGAAGTACGCTCCGCCTCCCGCTCTCGGCTTCGAGCGAAGGCCGCGATCTCCTCCGACACCACGGTGTTCTCCTCAACATTCAAAAGGTGGTTCTCGCCGGGCCCGTGACTCTCGCCTCTCTTCCCCTCAGGCCCCTGTGGTGGTTCTGCGCCTTCCCGTACAGTCTTCTCATCTTCATTTACGACGAGGTCCGCAAATTAATTCTGCGGAGATGCCCCGGAGGTAAGCAGCGATTGGGAGGAGCCAAGGTGCTTCAACCGTCTGTGTCTTGTTAATATGCTGAAAGGGGGGAAAAGCGACGGTGTTGCGGCGGAGGCCTCTCATCAGCCTCTCGTCCCGTCCTCCCGACCTCTCTCGGCCTTCATGCCGTGTCCTCATACACACTTGTCCCCCCCCAAAAAAAAGTACACCGTCGGCTCCCTAAAGGAGACACTGATCGACGAAGACGCCACGGCTCCGGTCCGCCGGCCGGACCTGAAGGATCCCGACCGACGCGCAAAGAGTGAAAAATCCAGTTCAATGTCCTTCAAAAGCAGCAGAAAGAATTGATGTCAAAACAACAGCTGATTTAGACTGAAGCCAAAAAAAAAGAAAGTACAGGCAGCAATTTTACAAAACAAAGTCTGCTCCAATTATGGATGATTGTTGATGAACATCTTTTTGTGTAAAGCTGGAAATGCAGATTTGAAAACTGTGTTTTAATCCCAGCAGTTTTCTATTTCGCTATTGTCATTTCTTTGCATCCAGTAACCGTGATAATTTCCATTTTAAACTTTAATTCTAACCCCCCCCCCCACCTTCGACCAGTGCAGTTAAACACTCCAGCGGGCCGATCGATACTGAAAAAAATGATCCTGCTTTCAAAGCCTGCAGCCCGCGAATCAACCCGACTGATTACTGTTAGTCTTCCCGGTTTGATTTATGACAAACTAGCATGTAAAAGCCGCGCTGTCTGGCACTTTGCTCCCCAATTCAGTTCAGTAAACGGAGCATAAAATCACGGCAAATAAACAAGACAACCGAGAAAATCACACGTCACACGTCTGATTCTTCACTGGATTTCCACTGTTCGGTGTATCTCGCCAATGGACCGACGACCACAAGCCGCTTGTAGTCCTTGTTGATGGAAGCACTCGAGCGACATCATCCCAGATTACTGCGGAAGGGTTGAGTGCCTCTTCTCGCCTTAAGCTAAGAACGAAACGCGACCCTTCGCAGCAGCTGAACTTTAACATGCAGGCGGACGTCCGAGTTCCTCATGGACTCCGACAACTCTGTGAACACCCGTTAAACTCGCACCAGGAAAGAGATTATATACCTGTCCGGCGCCACGAGAAACAGTGGGGAATGAGGAGAGAGAGGAAATGAAAGCCGGCTGATGGAGGCTCTTGAGATACGGCCCCGAAGATCCTCCCCGTGATATGGACACACTTCAGCGGCCTGAGATGTGTTCATGATGAGGGCCAAGACACGGGCAGGCTAATACAATTTATCGTGACAGCTAATCATTTCTGTTAATCTCTGCGTCACGGGCTGCTGATCAGACTCTTAGAGTTATGAGGGGATTCATTTGGAAATGTACAGAGACAAAAACAACGAGATGAATACAAATAGAGCGATACAAAAGGTTATTATGAAAACTGCTCGCCTGTCATTTTGTGCTCTGACACTCTCTCTCTCTCTCCTACAGGTTGGGTGGAGCAGGAGACATATTATTAATATTCAGAAAATGTCAGTTGACGTGTCTGCGAGAGTGTGGGCGTATGAGAATTTGTGCGTGATTGCGGGGGGTGCAACTGTGTGTTTGTCCATTGCGATATTGCATGGATCAGTTCACAAATCTGATTATCATGAGGAAAAACACTGCTGAAAATAGGCTTTTGATGTGTGATTCCTCGATGGTAACGCACACCTTCAGCATGCGCCTCAGACGAACCGCTACCAAAGGCAACACCGAATGTGGCTCGTGAGATGTACCACGAATAAAATAAATTCCCAAATGTTCCATTGTTTTGTTGTTCTGTGATCCAGCAGTGAAACAACTTTGAGTAATTGTGATATGTAGGATGCCACATGTGTTAATAAATGTATCTGCCTTCGGTGCTTATTGTAATCACACATCACATTTATGTTGAGCTTTTCTTTACAAAGTGTACGAAAAAAAATAGAAAATGGAAGAAAGGAGATGTAACAACACGGTAATGTCTAGGAAAATAAGCGGGCCACTCAACGGTTGAGTCTTGGTGATAACGCGGATGCATTGTTAATGTCATTTGGTAATGAGGCGGCGTCTGAAGCGCTCTGTGGAGGCTTGCGGGAGGTTGACATCAGCAGGCCTCAGGCATCGGGAGGGGGCTCCGCGGGTTGGAGGAGCTGGTTATTGAGGTTATAAAATGGGAACATTTTTAGGATTTGGGACTTGGTACAAATCAGTGCCAGAAGGTTTCTTTGCCTGCCGGTTCCAACGGGTAAGCGGTGATGGTGGAGTGAGTCGCAGCTGTGAGGAGAGATGCAGTTGAGAATCATCGGCCATGACAGTGAAACTGGAGATCTGGTATAAAACGCTGGGGGACATCGTGAGTGACAGGAACTACGGTCAGTTATACCGTATCAGCACGTATGACAGCCGATGAGTACAGTAAGTAAGTAAATAGAAAAATCGTGAGCAAGATATTTTAAACACACTAGATACGTTTCATAGTTCACTAGAGAGCGCTGGCAAATTCAGATGAAATGTAAAAATATCCATCGCTATATATTCTGGCCAGAATTTTTATTCACATTAAAATGGAATGTATTTGTGAAAAGAAAGTTCAAAGATCATTATTTTTGTGATCATTATTTTGACATGAATACTGGCATCTTAAAAAGCCAGTACAATGCAGGCTCTGCCTTATGTTCATATCTTACCATCCATTATGTATGTCCCTGTGTCTTCTATTCACTAAGACACTTGTTACCTGACAAAATAATCAACAAAGAAATCGGCAATGTCAAGTGAAAAGCAATGTCAAAATATTGAAAAACGTGTGTGTGTGTGTGTGTGTGTGTATATATATATATATATATATATTTCCACTGGAGAGTCATACGTTTACGCCGGAAATATATACACACAGTCAGTCTTCAACTACCTTATATCCAATCTTGTCTAATTATAGCCCTCCATAGCCTTTTATTTGATACTTAATGAAATATTAATATATGGGACCAGTCAAGTGCTGCGTCTAGGCATCATTAACTCCACCACCCTGTGTGTGTGTGGCTCCTTTAAATATAGTCACATACATTAATTCTGTTTTTATCCTTTAACATTTTTCATTTGTGAAAATAAATAATGTACAGTATTTGTAGAGCAAAAAGAAAAAACAGTCATGTATGAGAATACAAAGCTGATTCTGATTTCCTAGTTCTTGTAGGACTCCTTCTTTGAGTTGGGCTGAATTAAATGTTTGGTCATCCAAAGATTTTTTTTTCTGAGATATATTTATCGGGTTGTGATAAAAATGCTTTGTTCTTTCGTCCTCACACACCCTGAACAAACAGCCGTTGAAGGTTTTGGACCAGAGAGTTTCCTCACCAGATGAAACACAACATCCGGCTACGTCACTTCCGCCCACTCCGTGTCAAACATGGCGCTGCTCCTAAGGTCAGTGCATCTGTGCTTCGCAGTGTTTGTGGTCTGGTTTTTGTGTCGTTTATCTGCTTTACCGTGTCAAAGTTGAGGAAAGCCCGCTCGAGTGTCATCTTGTTCGCTTTGTTTATCGTTCTTTATTCAACATAAATATTCAGCGCTAGCTGTGTTAGCTAGTTAGCAGTCCAGCATTAGCGCTACCGTTAGCTCTCCCTGAGACAGTCGTAAGCTAGCCAAGTGGACCTTGGCTCCTATTATTATAATTCATGGGTGACTCAAAGGGTGTATTCTGCTGCCTTAGGCCTGCCTTGATTGTCTGTAAATGACTCTTAAGCAGACAATGCTCTGGTCTAGTTCGGTAGTTAGCTAAGTGACCGCTTAGCTAGCCGCTCTTCAGTGCCTTTACCAGCTGTCTGTCAACACAGTAACGCCGGAGAGTCAAATGTTAGTAGAACTTCGTCCTCTTTATGAAAGGTGAACCATTTGTTATCACTGTTCTTAGACGCTGCGTTAATAGTTAATTGCTTCTTTAAATGCTACCGACGGCTGCACATTGCACACCTCGGTCAGATTGACTTCATGTGGAGTCTGCATTGTTTAAGCTCCGGGTTTGGGGCTGAATCAGAAGTCCTACTGTAAGATGCACCCATTTGCTATAATCGCTTTACTGGGTTGCTATTTTGCTGTTAAAACAAACCAGTTTAAATAAGTAAAGATTATTTCTATCCCTTGTTTCTTGTGTTCCAGGACGATGGCCCGTCAGGGTGTCTCTCTCTCCAGACCACACTACAGTGTTTTCTACAGACAGTGAGTGTTTCCCATAAATGCACCGCTGTACATCTTAGTTGTGCTACAGATTCATGCCACGTGTGAAACTTTGTTATCTCGTAAAGCCGTGGACTCAAAGTAGTTTTCTCTCTCTACAGAGCTGCTCCAATGGGAACCACAGCTAAGGAAGAAATGAACAAGTTCTGGTCCAAAAATGCCAAATTAAGCCGACCCATGTCTCCTCATCTCACCATTTACAAGTTTGTACTCTCGCCACCCCCCCCCGTTTATGCTTTATAATTTATCCAAGTTAACAGTAATATTATTATACGTGTCAATCTTCATATTGTGTAAGAAGAGCCACCATTATCACATTATCAGAGATTGTTACGTCATTCAGCGAAATGAGAAACTTTATTTACGGTCAGGCGCTTACTATCCTAAGTGCTGTAGTATAGACAATGTAAACTATTGATTTAAATGATACCCTTTGATCTGCTTTAAATTTAATTACCAGAACAGCATAGGCCTTATTCCTTTTCCATTTCTTATTTCAGAGTCTAAAAGTGAAAGTTTCCTTTTTACTTTCATTCAGAATTTCAAAGACCCTCCAATGTCTGTTTTTCGCTCTGGGATTCGCAGCCACGATGAGTGGTCCTTGCTGTCTGTGGAGGCACAACTCTTTGACTTAAGCGTCCTTGGGTTTTAAGTATTAATAGGCTCAACCACATAAATCTGCTACTATAGTAAATGTGTGGCATTTGGTTTGTGTTTCAGATGGTCCGTCCCCATGATGATGTCCATCACATTCAGAGGAACTGGAGTGGGGCTCAGCGGAGGTAACTCCTCTTTTCTTTGTCTTTCTCATCATTACTAAAGTTAGAATATTTAACAAACCTATCTGAAAAGTATTTTCGCCCTTCCGATACCCACATTTTTCCACATGAAAAATGCATGAGGATACACGCGTGGTCTTTTATGTTTATCATTCCATATCTAAGTAAAGCCTTTCAATTGACTTTGTGATTGACCCTGAAAATCTCTTTAGAGCTTTTTACTCCATCGCTATTGATTCTGCTAAGAGCATTTAGAAACGGAGGTTGTTCGATACAATTCCACCCTTTGTGTGTTAAAATCATGTCTGATGCTGGACGGCTAATAGCTTCCGTTCATTTGCGTGGTGTAATCGTGGAGCCTGTGATGACAAGGTTCACCAATACCTTTGACCTTGATCAATGTCATGACTTCCTATCAAAACATCTCATGTGCTTTATCGCTGAAATCAGCTTTCTGGTTTCCTTGCAACGTGCTGGTGAAACATATTTCACCTGCAGGCTGATTGTTAATAGGCCAGTAAGTCCTATTGCGTTTATAGGAAATGCTCGTTTAGCCTGCCTTTCTTGCCATTTTTCATATTGCATTAAAGCTCATTGAAATACAATGGATGTTAATTTCTGTTTGAAACTCGTGCCTTTAGTGTTTACGCTCATACGTCTTTTCCAATGCCACTTTGCATATTTTTCTTAATCATCCAGACAGTAAGAAAGGCTCAGACAGCCCCGTTTAGTGCAGTTCATTCAAGCTGCTGCTGAAGAGCCTGTTTGATACAGAACCATTGTTTGGCCTTCATTTAATTCAGTCAGCGGGAGGAAAACAGTCGTTGCATAATGGACACGCTCAGATGTTGCAGAGTGACTGGCCGCTGGGCTTTGAGACTCATCCAGACTAATCCAGAAAAAAACAAAACAAGAAATGTCAGTAACATGTTTCTCCTCGGCACGCGTTGTATGTCTCGTCGTTGTTTTCCTCCCAAAGGCATGCGGCACTCAGACATCCACACCTTGTCCAAGCTCATTGCCTGTGTCTGTGTCCAGCTATCTCAGCCTTTGCCTTGGCAGCGCTGGTACTACCGGAGAGTTACCCCCACTACCTGGACCTGATCCACTCGCTCTCCGTCGGCCCCTATCTCCTTGGTTTGGCCAAATTCGCCCTCGTCCTCCCCGCGTCGTTCCACACCTACAACGGCATCCGCCACTTGGTAAGACTTTAGCGATTTAGTACATTGATACATTTCTGTCATTTCACAGCGGATTCATCGTCTCGTGGTGATTCTTGTGCTAAATGTTCTTCTCTTTGTCTTATTTGTTTATTCAAATCAGTGCTGGGACCTTGGCAAGGGCTTCAGAATCCCCGAGGTGTACCGCACCGGCTACACGGTCATCGGCCTGTCCGTCATCACCTCCATAGCCGTGGCTTTCTTCCTCTGAGCAGACGACCAGAAGAGAGGAAAGGGAATCTGCACTCGCGTTCACTGTGGGAGTTTTGTGTATATGTTGTTGCCTACTGCAGGCACTATTTCATCAAAGAATTAAATAAAGGCTTATATTATACTGTATGCAGTAAATGTGTTGTGATGTTTTGTCCCTTGGACTTAATTATACTCTTGAGAAAACGTCGGGGTCATCGCACGCAGCAAAGAGTGCAAAGTGCATGCAAATGTGACCCAGTTTATTTCACACTCGGCAACAACAACCGGCGTCCAAAATTAGACGCGTCCTACATGTTATGTCTTTATGTAACTTGTTTAACGGTGCTGTGACGTGACCATTCGGTAATCACCTCCCTCTGCCCTCAGTGCTCACAGTGTGTGTTTGTGTGCGCGTACAGCGGTTGTTTACAGCGGGCCTTCGTTCTTGTTTGTGTGTGTGTGTGTGTGTGTGTGTGTGTGTGTGTGAGTGAATACAGGCCCCTCGCCGGGCCTCGGGCCCCACCTCCCAGGATCTACACTGCCTGGCTGGATAAAATCCAGCAGTGATGTGAGATCCAGCTAAGCTACAGTACCACAGGGCGTGTGTGTGTGTGGGGGTGGGGGGGGCGAGTGTAACTGTTCATGCGAGCCCTCGGTCTCGTTGGCGCTAACTGGATCGGTTATCAATTTGTTACCAGTGGCTTAAAAGGGGAAGCGCTCGTCAACAAAATCACATTTTGTTCCGTTGATAAAATCTATTTGTGAAGCACAAGTGTGATCAAAACACGCCGCTTACACTCCGCAAACTGAATTTACAATAACTGTCAGTTTTTATAAAACACTGAATTTATAGCTGTGTTTATTTAGAACTGGTGTTCCACCCTGAGCCCCGATACTGGTCTACGTTTAACGCTCTGCGTTATTGGCACAGCAAAAACTTCTTATTCTAACTTCTTATCCTGATTGCAGAGAATTTGCCTTTTAGACGATTTGCTGCGTTGTCTATTCCTCATTATAGCCACATTTCCATCTGAGCCACAAACCCACAGGGCTGTAATTGTCGATTGTGATGGACAGGGAAAATATTCAAACTCCACGGCCTTTTAGGAATTGATTGGACTCGCTCATCGCCGGCTCACGCAGAGACCCGTCGACATGTTCCTGTCAGAAGTAGCTGAGGTATTAAAAAAACAAGGAGGGAAAGCTTTACCTCATACGTGGAGATCGCTTCATAACGCGAGCTGTTCCCTCGTTTGATTCGGATGATATCACCCTCATGACGTTTTGACGAGGCAGCCTGTGTACAAGCAGTGGGGGACACGCAGCAGACGCTCCCCCCATCCTCTTATAAGGCATCGGGGACTAACGATGGCTCCTCGGCAGCACCCCCTACCGGCCGGAAAATTACCAACCGCACGGCCGCGGTGCTGATGCTGAGGGATGATGAGGATGCTGCGCGGGGCTGGGAGGGGCGGAATAAATCCGTTTTTGATCGACGAAAATGTGGCTGAGTCTCTGTGGCGCAATGGAATAGCGCGCTGGACTTCTAATCCAGAGGCTCCGGGTTCGAGTCCCGGCAGAGATGTGTGTGAATGGCTTTTTTTTGCATGAAATGATGGATTAAAAACCAGAGATGTTGTTTTCTTGCCCCTGCAGC